CGAGTGCCATGCAACATGATCTTCCAAAGAAAGAACGAGACCCCGGAGGTTTCGTGATAAAGATTGCTCTGGGGAATGGAAAAGAGGCTTCGGGGATGCTCGACCTCGGAGCGGGAATCAACCTCATGCCGTCTTTTATCTTCCAGCGGCTCGGTTTAGAAGATTTGAGACCCACTCGCATGTGTCTTCAGCTCGCAGATCGTTCGATCAGATACCCCAAGGGGGTAGTTGAGGATGTCCTTGTTCGTGTCGGGAGACTCATTGTCCCGGTAGACTTTGTGGTACTAGATGTGGGGGACGTTCAAGAGAATGGGAAGGATCACACCATCCTTCTTGGTAGACCACTCATGGCCACTACCAACACACTCATTGACGTAAGGACGTTGAACATGACAGTCCTAGGTGAATCCGTGTCCATTTCCGTCCGAGAAGCCACCTCGGCATCCTCGGTGAACTTTGTGGAAGAGTGTGCTTTTATAGATGTGAGTGACCCATTTGTGGAAGAGGTAGCCGTTCGAGATTTGGAAGAGAGATTGATGCCCGAACTTGAGGAAGAGGAAGGACCAGTTATTGAGTTGATGGAAGTCGAAGAGCCGGGATCGATAACCCCACCAGCAATAGAGTTAAAAGAGTTGCCTCGTCACCTCAAATATGTCTTTCTTGATGATGAGAAGAAAAAGCCAGTGATAATCTTTGCCGAGCTCAACCGGGAAGAGGAGAAGGAACTGATTGAGGTACTAAAGAAGAACCAGAAGGCCATCGGTTGGAGCCTTGGCGACATAAAGGGGATCAGCCCTTCTACTTGCATGCATCGAATTGTTTTGGAGGATGGTGCCAAGCCATCTCGGGATAGCCAGCGGCGGCTCAACCCGAGCATGATGGAGGTAGTAAAGAAGGAGGTGCTGAAACTTTACTCCGAGGGCCTCATTTATCCGGTGGGAGATAGTGAGTGGGTCAGCCCCATTCATGTGGTGCCGAAGAAAGGGGGCATCACAGTGATTGAGAATGAGAAGAAAGAGATGGTCCCCACCCGTATCACTACCGGGTGGCGAATGTACATTGATTACCGGCGACTCAATGCCGTGACCAAGAAGGACCACTTTCCGTTGCCGTTCATTGACCAAATTCTCGACCGACTCTCCGGCCACCAGTTCTATTGTTTCCTCGACGGACTCTCAGGCTACTACCAAGTGGCCATAGCTCCGGAGGATCAACCCAAGACGACCTTCACGTGCCCATTCGGCACATTTGCCTTCAAACGTATGCCCTTCGGCCTGTGCAATGCACCCGGGACCTTCCAACGGTGCATGTTCTCCATCTTTTCTGATATGCTCGAGGACTGCTTACAGGTATTTATGGATGACTTTTCAATTTTTGGTACTTCATTTTCTAATTGTCTCCATAATTTATCTCGTGTTCTTGAAAGATGCATTGAGTCGAACTTGACTTTGAGTTGGGAGAAGAGTCACTTTATGGTGACTAGTGGTGTTGTTCTAGGTCATGTGGTGTCTAGTCGGGGGATTGAAGTTGACAAAGCTAAAATAGATGTTATTGAAAAACTTTCCCCGCCTGTGAATGTAAAAGGTGTTCGAAGCTTTTTGGGTCATGCTGGCTTCTATAGAAGATTTATTAAGGACTTTTCAAAAATAAGTCAGCCTTTGTGTCACTTGCTTGCTAATGATGTGCCTTTCATATTTGATGATGCATGTTTAGAGGCTTTTGATAAATTGAAGAATAAGCTTGTGACTGCTCCTATTGTGATTGCACCTGATTGGTCTTTACCTTTCGAAATTATGTGTGATGCATCAAACCTTGCTGTGGGGGCCGTTTTGGGCCAACGAGTTTATAAATTGCTTCGTGTGATTTATTATGCTAGTTTGACTCTCAATGGTGCCCAATTGAATTATACTACCACTGAGAAAGAACTTTTGGCTGTTGTGTTTTCTCTTGAAAAATTTAGGTCTTATATCTTGGGATCTAAAGTAACTGTGCATTCAGACCATGCAGCCCTTAGGTATCTTTTGAGTAAAACTCAATCGAAACCTAGGCTTATTCGGTGGATTCTTCTTTTACAAGAGTTTGATGTAGAGATTAGAGATAGAAAAGGGTGTGAAAATGTTGTTGCTGATCATTTGTCTCGTATTGTCCCTTCTGAACCTTCACTTGCATTGCATGAACATGTGGGTATAAATGATGACTTTCCATATGAGCATGCGAGTGAAGTGACTAATGTCCCTTGGTATGCTGATATTGTCAATTACTTGTCAGATGGTGTCTTGTTGGCTAACCTCTCTTCCCAAGAGAGGAAACGTTTTGTGTTGATGTGTAGGAGTTACTTTTGGGATGACCCATTCCTCTTCAAGGTGGGAAAGGATGAGATTCTTCGGAGGTGTGTGCCCGAAGAAGAGCAATTGGACGTCCTCACCTTTTGCCACGAGCTTAACTGTGGAGGACATTTTGGAGGACGTAAGACCGCCTTTAAAGTTCTCCAATCAGGTTTATTCTGGCCAACTCTTTTTAAGGATGCTCATAATTTTTGTAGATCGTGTGACCGATGTCAAAGAATTGGGAACGTTGGTTCTAGAAATGAAATGCCCCTTGTGAACAATTTGCAAGTTGAGATTTTTGATGTTTGGGGCATTGATTTCATGGGACCGTTTCCCAAGTCCTTTGGCTTCGAATATATCCTCCTTGCTGTAGATTACGTGTCCAAGTGGGTCGAGGCTATCCCCACACGGACATGTGATGCTAATGTGGTTATTAAGTTTTTGCGAGGAAATATCTTGAGCAGGTTTGGATTTCCACGTGCCATTGTGAGCGATGGAGGCAAACACTTCTGTAACCGGATTTTTGAAAAATTGATGAAGAAATACAGAATTTCGCATAAAGTGGCTACCCCATACCACCCGCAGATGTCGGGGCAAGCAGAAACGAGCAACAAGCAGATTAAGACTATTCTTGAGAAGACGGTGAATTCGTCTAGGAAGGATTGGTCGAGCAGGCTCGATGATGCACTCTGGGCCCAAAGGACGGCATACAAGGGAGTATTGGGGATGAGCCCGTTCCGGCTAGTCTACGGGAAATCATGCCATTTGCCAGTTGAGATCGAGCACAAGGCATTCTGGACAATTAAAAAGATGAATTTCGATCTTGATGCTGCCGAGCGAGAGAGGATGCTGCAACTCTCGGAACTAGAAGAGTGGAGAAACGAAGCCTACGAGAATTCTAAAATCTACAAGGAGAAGACA